TGTAAATACTTTGCCTCCTTTGATATGTACATAGCATTTTATAGTATGGATGGACATGAATCTTTTTTTACAATTCTTCTAGTGATTAATATTTTGATGGTCTCTACTTTCAACTCATTCCATGTAAGTACTGCAGGAACAGTCTTGCTCATTTATCCTTTTACATTTGAGTAAGTGTTTCCATGAGGTAGAATTCTAGAAGTGGTATTATTTTTTAAGACAGTATGAACATTTTAAATTTGGAAATATGTTGGCCAGCTTCTTTCTGGAAAGGACATACCAATTTGTATTTCTGACCAACAGTTTTTGAAAGTACCTTTTTGTATACTTGCCAACCCTGGATGTTACTAGTCTTGTATAGTTTTATTTATCTGATAAGCAAAAAGTAATCTCATTGTTATTATTTGCATTTTTTTGAACTTCTGTGAGAGTGAGCAACTTTTCATATATTTTCATTATTTTCTAGTCTTATTTTTACTTGATTTATATTTATATCAGTTCATTATAATATTAAACTGAAAGTTTGAGTTTTATCAGTCATCATAATTTCTCCAATTTCACAGTTTATTCATTTCAGAGATAGCTGTCTCATTTGCTCTATGCAAATTTACCCAAAATTAAGCCTGATGGTTTATTTCATTTTATTTTTTATTTTTCAGAAAGCAGGATTTATTAAGAGGACAGAAGAACTCCCACAGTGGGAGGGGACCCAAAGGGGTTGTCCAAACCTGACAGTTTAAACCAAGGATTTTTCAAGGCAGGCCAGTTTGCTGGAAACCAAATCACAGAGTAACCAGTTTATTAAGATTTAAATAATTTTCTGAAATTTTTTTAACCTTGCTATTTCACTCTCAACCTTTGGTTGCAAAATAGCTGACATGACTTAGACCCTGTTTAAGGTTTTATTCTGATTATAACTGGGGCTGTATGACATAATGTAAGATATTAAGATCACACTTAGGGGAAAGCCTGTTCATTGTTTACTGTCACCACTGTAGTAAAGCTTTGAAAATCCTGAATCAGTTTTGCAAATTGTCTAGCAAATTGATTTTTGGAAATTGCCCCATCTGGAGCACCACTTCTCAGGTATGGCTGGCAGGGAGCCAGGGGTTGAGAGAGTATCTCAAAATTTCCAGGAGGCAAGTGTAGTTTGAAAAAATGATTGGTATGGCATCTTGATATAACTTTATATTTGGAGCATTTAGAAAATACTTGTTAATACAAATTTTAGAAAATAAGATTGTATGAAGGTATCTTAGTAGGAATATGTAGAAGATATAATAATACGGTTATATGGTTAGTATAGAGAAAGGGGAAGATGTTTTTATATTTCTTAAAATTGAGTATTACACAATTGAGAAATACCCTTTTAAGCAGCCATATACTTAACACAAATTCCCTAACAAATCGTCCCCCTCTCCCAAATAGCCATATAAATAATCAAGCAATATAAACTGAGAGAATTGGGTCTCTAAGAGACAGTTTATAAAGTCTGTCAGTTCATTAATGACTGTCCAGATTCATTCCCTGAAACACAAACTCCAGTTCTTTGCGAATAATGAGCCGTTGTCACAGTTCCAGTCCCAGAGTTGGCAGAATTCCTGCTAACCTTAGCTTACCCACTCTCATTTCTCATTTATATCATGTCCTATTTATTTCAGCCAACAAGATAAAAATTACTTCCTAGCCCTCAGTGACATGACTCTATAAATTCCCATCATAAACATGTGGCAAAGCAGACAAACCAAAAGAGCCAATTCATTAACATTAGTAAATTCATGGTAGTCTGAGAGCAAGTAGCCAAGCTATTTGTCTGTTTCGGAAAGTCATTCCACAAATGTTTATGGAGTGTCTTTTTTGCCAGGCTGGGTGTGAAGGAGACAGCCCTTGTCCCATGGGCTCTGGCAGGACTCATTTTGTGAACCTCCTCTTTTATCCCTGTAAAGATTGAACCCCAATACCAGCCAAGGAGAAATATTTCCCCCAAGTTCATCTGTCTTGAGTTTCTTCTTTTCTGCAGTGGTAAATAATAATCTTTTAAAGATTTAGTTGCCATTTAAGATATTTGGCAATTTCAACATGGATTTGTAGTTACCTCCTTCAGTGTTACCAACTTTGTACTTGATGTATATGTGTATATATATCCTTATAGTCCCCAGTACTCTTAAGTAATCTCACCAAATATAGGCATTATAATCAAATACTGTGTCACTCTTTCCTTAGTTTCTGGTGAATCTATTTAGTGTGGCAGTCCTCTCAAGGCTCTGCAGGTTTCCTTTGTTCCTGCTATTCTGTATATATGTACATGAAGTGTACAGGCAACATACTCTGGCTTTAGAATTTTTCTTGTCCACCTCTTTATCTTAGTCTCCCTGGAAGATTAGAGATTATCATGGATTTAGACTGAGAGACAGGCAGTATGAGTTTGCTGGTCTCCTTAGCAAAGGGGGGCGCATTATTGATTGAGGAATACATGTCACATGCAGGTAGATTGGAATGTGTTCTGAGACTGACTCTGAGGGATCCCAACTATATGTCTTAAGTTTGGACTATACTACCCAAACCTCCATAGGTTGGTGGCTTAAACAACAAACAATCATTTCCCCCAGTTCTGGAGGCTGGTAGTCTGAGATCAGGGTGCCAGCATGGTTGGGTTGTTGGTGAAGGCCCTCTTCCTGGTTTACAGACAACCATTTTCCAGTATCCATACATGGCAGAGAGCAGAGAGAAGCGGCAAGTTCTCTTGTGTCTCTTCTTTTAAGAGTATCATTCCTTTTCATGAAGGCTGTATCCTCATGACCTAATTACTTCCAAAGGTCCATCCCCTAATACTATTACTGGGGATCACAAACACGGAGTTCATAATTCCATTGAAATTTGCTAATCAACGGTGACTTTTGAGTTTGCTGCAACTGCTTTGTCATGAGGCATAAAAAATTTTCACTGCTGTGAACAATGAATCAGTAGATACAACATTTATTTGTGTGGCTTGATGAATTTTGTGCTTTTGTTACTTCTTAGACAATGTTTTAGAGGCTCAGCGCTATTAAGAGAATATTTTTTTCAGAATGTTATCTACAAAGATTCCTCTAGGAGACATGATCAATCATTAGTAGCCTATGTACTTCTTGAGGGCCTGGAGCTCGTGTTGTTTTTTCCCCAGTGATGGTGACATGGGACCTTGGACAGTGCTTGGCGCATATGGTGAAAAGCACACTTCCATCTAGAATAAACTCCAGAGTTCTTACTGGAAAACTCTGTAAAGCTTTGCAAGATTTGACTTCCTGCTGCCTCTCTTACATTCTCACGTCACATCATCCACACTGGCCTCTTTGTGGTTCCTGGACACTCCAGTCCCATTCTTCCTTAGGGCTTCTGCTGTTTCTTCTCCCTAAGACACTCCTCACCCAGAGAGCTGCGTGGTGGGCTCTCTTACTCCTTTCAAGTTGTGCTTACATGACACCTCTTCAAAGATACCTTTATTGACCATTCTATTGATCTCTTGCCCAGTTTGATTCTTCTTCATAGCACTCATCTCAACCTGATCTGTTATGTAGCTGTTTTTTAAAGTGTCTTTTTTTCTCTACTGGAATACAAGCTTCTGCCCTCACAGGCTTCTGCCCTCAAGAAGTACATAGACTACTAATGATTGATCATAATGTCTCCAGGCAAGCCTTTGGCAGTTTGGATCACTGCTGTATTCCCAGGGCCCAGAACAGTGCCTGTTACATAATAAGTGCTCAGTAAATATTTGTTGATTGAGTGAATATTTGGATGAATGCATGCATGCCTACATATATAGTGGTTGTATAGCAACAATGTCTTCCAGTTCCAGAGTCGTATCTGAGATGGAGAAATACAGCTCAAAAGGAAATGTTGATCTTTACTCTCTTTTCTCTTAGATGTGCAGGCTTGTTCAAGTTCTTAGCCCATAGCAACTATATTAAAATATTTTATCCCCTTCTGTTTTTTCATACCTCAAACTCCTTGGTGCACTAATTCCTCTGACCTAATAGGATAGTCTCTTTTGTGCTGTCCTGTTGCTGCCATCTTGTGCTCTTGGTCCCCTTATTTCATGAAGTGTTTGTCCTGGATTACTGTTCTTAGCATATCTCATGACCTGAGGGAGAATAGTAATTGTCATGTAAACCTTCAGTGCTCTTGTCCTTCCTTTGGGTGGGAGTAGGCAAAGAAAAGTAGTACAAGGTGGTTGCCCATGTTGGTCAAGAAGCTAAGCCCAATGAGAAGGCAGAAGCCTGTGAACCCCACATTAATGCCCTCATTAATGGATGTCTTTGGCTCATCAAGTACCAGATTAATTGGCTTTTTTCAAGGCACTTTAATGTTGTCCTTTGTTTTTTTTTATCCCCTGTATTTGGTGATATATGTGTCTGTAAGCCTCAGAGCACTTGGTATTTTTTCCGTGTACTAACTCCATAATGATCTTCCGTGATATTAGAACAGCCTCTTTAGCTCTATTCATCACGGCAGGTGCAGCACATTAGCACCAAAAATTAGACCATAATGCAACAATAGCTTATTGAGAACATCCATAAATATCTCCTAAAAGCTTAGAATTTCTTTAAGACAGTAACATCACTTCTAAAGGGCTTTCATCTGTTACCCCAGAAAGAATGATAAAATATTTAAGACATAACATGGTTTTGTATATTATAAACGGTGGTTCTTTATGCTAGGTGGCTTTAAATTTATGTAGGTAGGCACCTTTTTTATATTCATACCTCGCAAATGGAGCCTTTTATCATTTATAATGTTGTTGTTGCCAATTTAGTAAATGAGATGGTTTATGAGCACTGTTCATCAATGAAACAAATGGCTTTCATATTATTTGGCACCTGGTTAAGCAGTGTACATTTTAAATCACCTTTTTATACATGCTCTTTCCCCCCATTGTCTTATTTTATCTTATTCAGTTGTTGATTTGCTGTGAATTGAGTAAACAGCCTTATTTTTTCCCTCTCTCCCCACTCCCACACAAGATGGAGGAAAGGAAGTGCTGTCCATGCACCAGATTCTCCTCTACTTGCTCCGGTGCAGCAAAGCTCTGGTGCCTGAGGAAGAGATTGCCAACATGCTTCAGTGGGAGGAGCTGGAGTGGCAGAAGTATGCAGAGGAATGCAAAGGCATGATTGTTACCAACCCCGGAACGGTATGTTCTGGTGTCGATGTATTCTTTTCCAGATGTGAATGTTTCACAAAATAGTAACAGCACATTTCAAAAGCTTCAGGTGTTCATTGCTTCTTATCCTTTGAGTAATTTTTCCTTTAAATATTTAGTTAACAAGGAAAATACTACTATTTAGACATACTTAGTAACAAATTCACCTGATTCAGTAAATTTACTCTACCTGAAGATACGTACATTTTTAAGACTTTTGATGAATATTGGAAATTGTCTTCCAGAAGGATTGTAAAATTTGTACTCTGACCAGGAATGTATGAGAGCATCCATTTCTTTATCCTGGTTATACTAAATTAAATGGAAAAACTTTGCCAGTTTGATGGGGGAAAGATTCTTAGTTCTTGCCTGATTTCCTTTTGTGGGTATTGTTCTTTTTTTATTGACCCTTTGCATAATTATTACAAATATTTTTCGCTTCTTTTGTTCTTAGGTTTTTTTTTACAAATTAGCTTCTAATGTTAATTTTGAAATAAAATTTAAAAGCAGAGAATTAAAAGATAACTAGTTCTCTTATGTAAAACATAGCATTTTCTTTGTATCACATATTTTCCCACAAAATATGTTATTGTTTCATAAAATAGTTATATATTGGCATCTTATCAGGGTAAAAATTTTCAGAAATAGAGAGTTAAAATATTTTCATGTAAAGAAACAGAATGATCTATTTAAACAAAGCTGTTTTTTTTTTTTTAAAACCTGCCAATTGTTTAATAGCCTTGATTCATAAACTAAGAACTCTGGATCAACTTTTTTGGGCATGACAGTAACATCTACACAAACAAAATGTTGCTATTTGCAAATGAAACCGTCCAGCTAGTATGGATTATTTAGAACAAATCCAGAAAGTGACATTGTATAATCAAAATATGTTTGAACATAAAACTTGTTAAAACCAAAAAATCATATAGTTCTTTTATACTGTCAAGCCACATAACTACTAAAGTAACTTTAAAAGAAATATGTAATTAATAACACTATGAGAGTAAGATGGTGGATTTTATTTTCCTTCTTAAAACAGTTGCATATGTTTATATTACCTCTGTCAGTTTTAGAGCTGGATCAGAGGATGGGTGATGTGGTAGGAGACAAGCATTTTCCACTTGAAGAGTTTCATGTTCTCCAGGTGATACTCTGGGAGCATGTTCACTCTGGGCTTCCTTCATGGCATAGTTAAGTTTTCCAGAAATCTTGGAGTAAGTTCGAGAGTGTTTAAGAAAACCTAAGCTGTTCTGATTGACCTTTTCCTATATGCTCCAGGCAATGGAGCCCAGGAATCTGTAGTTTTTTTTTTTTAATTGTAGGGTACAATTAAGGGTTAGGTATACAAATATTCATTGTGCTGGTGATGAGGTGTGGCCCTCCCCCCCTTCCCCAGACAGATATCGACAACCGTTAATCCCACCTCCCTGCCCTCCCCCACAGTTTCCCATTACTGTCAATTCTTTTCTTTTAGTATTACGGTAGTTGTGAATCTGTAGTTTTAAAAAAAATCTCCATGTGTTTCGATTCACCTATTGCTTGCGTTTGAGCCAGTGGCATAGATTAAGTTTACTGTCACCATAACCATCAGTTACCTAATTTGTGGAGGGACCACTAGGTGAGCCAGATGCTAGTGAAGTTAGATATGATGCTCGCCTGAGTGAAAACTCAAGGCATCTACATATCAAAGTAGTCTGTGATGAATTGTTGGGCCAATGGACGCATCAGAAAAACCTGTAGTTTTAGGAGAAGTCACTGGACCAGGCTTGTCAGGGATGCTTCATAAACACTACAGTAAGATCTCTGAAAAATCAAGAAATTGTGTAAGTTGTTGGCATGATTAAATGTACATACATGAGATGGTGTAAAGCTGGTTTTGAAGATAGGAAATCAGACTAATCAGGTTGAAAGGTTTATTGAAAAATGATCAGAAATAAATTAGGAGAGATAAGTTTGAGTGTCAGGCTTAGGAACATATTTATTTTTTAGTATTTATCTGAAGATATGTTTAAAGGAGGAAAAGTCCCCAAACTCAGTATTATGAAAATTTTTTTTATTACATCCTTTTGAGAAGTATGTAAGTGACTCATATGACAAGATAGACATGACCCTACGTTTCATCCTCTGCAGTACCTGCTTTGAAAGGTTACCTAATGGCAAGGATATTGGGACATTTATTCATTTTTTTAAGCTATTATGGTCACATTAAATACTTTGTTGCTGCAGAACTTAAAATAATTAATCTTCCTTCCTAAGCACTTTGCCCTCTGCCAGAGAATACCTTGATCATCAGCAAGAATGTTTTTTATTCTTACACAAAGATGTTGTGATAAATGTTATAGGGTGTGGCCAAAGTCTAGAACATGCTTTATTCTCTCTCCCCTCCCACAAATTTGTAGATACTATAAATATTTTAAGTTACTGTTTTCCTCTGTTTGTACCATAACATGGTATTAAAATTACAGAAACATGAGTAATTGAATTGCGTTCTTTTGTTACACAATTCCTCTTTTAAAAATGTATCCTTTTTTCACACATAAAATAATAAAAGCAATTCTGAGGCCAAAGTAACATGTTGCTATTGTTGATAGGCATTTAAATAATTTTATATTAGGTTACATGTGAGCAAAATATTTTCCACTTTTATTTTTATTTTTGAGTCTGGGGTCTTACTCTGTTGCCCAGGCTGGAGTGCAGTGGCAGAATATGGTTCACTGCACCCTCGACCTCCTGGGCCCAGGAGATCCTTCCTCTTCGTCCACCCAAGTAGCTGGGACTCTAGGTGCATGCCATCATGCCCAGCTAATTTTTTTTTTTTTCATTTTTTGGAGACATGAGGTCTTGTTATATTACCATGTTAGTCTTGAACTCCTGGGCTCAAGCAATCTTCTCGCCTCAGCCTTTTAAAGTGTTGGGATTATAGGCGTGAACCACTGCACCTGGCTCCATTTTTAAATTTTGAGACCAGAGACCAACTTAAGGTACTTGTGAAATTTTTATTATTAAGTGATGTTGAAATAGTCTCTTTCTCTCTCTTTTTTTTTTTTTTTTTTTGCGTTGGAGTCTCACTCTGTCACCCAGACTGGAGTGCAGTGGCATGCTCACAGCCACCCCAACCTTATCCTGCTGGGCACAGGCAATCCTTCTGCTTCAGCCTTCCAGGCAACTGAGACTACAGGCATGCACTACTGTGCCTGGCTAATCTTTTTTTTTTTTTGATTGTAGAGATGAGGTCTCACCATGTTGCCCATGCCGGTCTCGAACCTGTTTACTCAGACAATCCTCTTGCCTCTGCCTTCCAAGTGCTGGGATTACAGGCATGAGCCACTGCCCCTACTGAAATATTCTTTTAAAACTTCAGTTTGAGTTGTTTTTTAACGCATATGGATGAATTCATACAAATGTAACCTCTCTGTCACTAGTTGGATTTGTCAAATGGCTGACTGGGACTACAGTAGTAGATAGGGTGACCAGCTTGTCCCCGTTGCTGGGATCTTTTCTGGTTTTAGCATTGAAACCCCTCTATCCTGAACAAACCAGGCCACCAGCCAGATGCAAGTTGTTGGGCATCGTTGTAGGACAGAATGCAGCTTATTGACTTCAGCCCTTAACCTCCAAAGCAGTGGCGCCAAAGATCACACAATCTGCTAGTAAGAATTGAGTCTCTAACCAGGAACTTCTCTGAGAGTTGATTATGAGCAAGGAAGTTGCTAGAACATATTCTCCATGATTTTGCCATCTTTTCATAAATTTAAGCTTTTAGGATAAAAGGCATTTTACTAATAATCCAGAAGGAACGAACCATTCACTTCTTCCTTTATTAGACGTTAAAAAAAAATTAGTGCTCTATTAAAATACAAAAATATCCTACATGGACATAATGAGAGAACCTTAACTGTTTGGCCTTTGTACCACCATACTTTCCAATTTAAAGGTGTAGAATTAAAAGAATACACAAGGTACACTGAGAACAAAAGGGGGAAAAAAATTTAAATAGAAATATCTGTCTGTGCATCCTGAATAGAAATAAGCTATTCATGTGAAATTAAAGCAGAACAAACCAGCACATCTCTTCCTGTGATGTGGAATCCTTCCCCTGTGCTTTTAGAGGTTATGGAAAAGTTATATCTGACTGGGTGTCCTTTTAAAAGTTTAATTTTTAAAGGTTTCTATGTGGACTGCAAAAAAGGACAAAATCATTGTTCATTATGCCAAATGGCATAGACTCATTTACAGGGATGACATTATAGTTTTTAGATAGTATAGCTGCTATGATTAAAGGGTTTTAAATGACCTTTTCCCTTTGGGGACAAGGCTTTCCTAGAAAAAAAACCCGATTACTTCTTTCACTACTTAGGTTAAAGTCAATACGTAAAGACTTCTTGTGGGAATAAATGGCTTTGATTTTTCTCTCTAGAAACCAAGCTCTGTCCGTATCGATCAACTGGATCGTGAACAGTTCAACCCCGATGTGATTACTTTTCCGATTATCGTCCACTTTGGGATACGCCCTGCACAGTTGAGTTATGCAGGAGACCCACAGTAAGATATTTCTCGGTGTTTGTCTTAGCCAATTTCACCTTCTACTAACAGCTGAATTAGCAGAGGAATCCCCTTTAGTGGATATTTTCCTTTTGAAAAATTAAGACCTGACATGAACTATGCTTCCAAATTTCGGTTACCAAATGAAACAGTTTTGGTAGCTCCTGAAGAATTATTTTCTCTATATATTAGACTGCAAGAAGTTATTATTCAATACAATATCCTTGGCAATCTTGGTCAACATTAGTCTTGTATGTCTTAAGGAACTTTTCCTTTACTTGTCATTATAATAATTATTGTTACTATTTTTTATTTTTTCAGTGCCCTCTAGAGGAAAGTAGCACCATATGGGTTCCTAGCACTGCCGAATTTATGCAGAATTTTATTTTTGGGGGCCTCTTAGGAAGAGCTCAAGATCCCATGCATAGTCATGGGTTGTGTTGGAAGTAGGAGCCGTGACCTCTGAATCTTAGACTTGATGTTACTTTCCACATTTGGATTTTTCCAACTGGCATGTTAGTATTTTCTGGGAGAAGATGAGAATGTGTGGCAATGGAGATAGTATCATTATATATTCTTCAGGACTGTTTGGATTTCCTACCTTGCTGTACAAACAGTTTCCTGACTTAATTTTTTTAAAAAGATACATAATGGGAGAAAAGGGCATGGGAGATTTTCAGTTCATAAATACAGTTCTGGCTGACATATATTAGAAGAGGCTAAAGGGTTTTGTTCTTTTTTTTCCCCCTTTGGATAAAAGTATGAAGCAGTGAACCAGGCACTGTGTAAGTACTTCTTTCTTTCCTCCATTCTCTAAAAAAATGTTATCAAAAAAGGAGAGGCCCAGCTAAGCCCAAGAAAGGAGCAGTTTTAATATGACAGAAAATCTTTTGAAAATCCCTTCTTGTCAGAAAAATGTTAGTAGAATGTGATTAGGCTCTCGTGGACTCAGATGGCAGGACTGTGAGTTGACAAGGGATTGAATATTCTCTTCATTTTCAGGACGCTCTAACAGTATCCTTTAGAAACTGATCCAGGTTATCACATATTTGGCAACAGCAAATAAGCTTATTTTTGTCATGGTAAATACAAATTGGTATACACCATTTGTCTTTTCCCCTCCAGTGGAAAAACAGATACAACTTGTAGTTTGGGTATTGGCCTAAATGGATTATCTGTTCTAATATTCATTAACTTTTACTTTTGGTGTAGGCAGTTCAGAGACCAACAGTTTCCCTATTAAGGAAGGGATCTTTCTTTCAACAAATATCAGAAAATACATATCTGTCACTTTCCAAGTAGTAATGATTAGAAATGGGACTTGTGTTTCCATTGGTTAAAGTGTTTTTATGTGTCTCCTTTGAAATTCTTTCTGGATATTTATTTGTATAGTCATACCTCATGTTCAATCCAAAGAAGCAATAATCAAGTTAATCACCAGATTCCAGTTGACTCTTGGCTATCCTGCCCCTCGACCCCCAGATCACATCCTTCCTTAGAATGATGGTCTCCTGCCATTAAGGATATTCAAAAGAATGTAATTTGTGGTTGAGCAGGCCTCTTAAAATGAACTGGTTTTATTGCACTTTAGATTCACTTTCTCTTTGTCTGAGATGTTTGTCTGTCCTTTTCCTTAGGTACCAGAAACTGTGGAAGAGTTATGTGAAACTTCGCCACCTTCTAGCAAATAGTCCCAAAGTTAAACAAACTGACAAACAGAAGCTGGCACAGAGGGAGGTCGGTATCGAACCCCATTCCTTGATGTATTCAATGATGTGCTTCAGGTTTTTTTCAAGATTGTTGCATTACACTATACTTCTAGAATAAGATGGAAAAATACTTTTTAAAAAAGTCATACTTTACTCTTTTCCCCACATTATCTACTGATTGATTTAAAACACATTTTTTTTTTTAGCTGGGCATAGTGGCTCACACCTGTAATCCCAGCACTTTGGGAGGCCAAGGCGGGAGGATTGCTTGAGCCCAGTAGTTCAAAACCGGCCTGGGCAACATAGTGAAATCTCATCTCTACAAAAAAAATTAAAAATTAGCTAGGTGTGGTGGCGTGTGCCTTTAGGCCCTGCTACTCAAGAGGCTGAGGTGGAAGGATCACCTGAGCCCAGGAGTTTAGCCATGATTGTCATGATCATGCCACTACACACCAACCTGGACCACACAGTGAGACCCTGACTCAAAAAAAAAAAATTTTTTTTTAGTATTTAAGGGAGCATTCTTACCCATAAAAAAGCTAGTTTCTTAGTGGATTACTACTATTGGGAATCAAATATATACTTTATAGAAATTAAAGTATAAAATTTGCTGAATTAGACTTTTATCTTTAATTAGTTTACACATTATGCAACACTGGGTCTTACTCAAATTTTTGAGTCTTAAAGTTGTAAAAGTTTGTCTTCTATAAGTCTGCCAGTTTAGTAGGGTGAACTTCCTTTGTAAGGTTTCATATCTCAAGTTCCATATTTCCTTACTAATTGGTAGTATTATCCCTGCATTCCAAGATCGCTTAGTTTTATTTCATTTTATTTTTAATTTTAAGAATAAATGGATTCAATATCAACATAGATTTTGTCTCAGGGAGGTTTTATTCTGGTGTGATAGTGTAGGAGCAGGGCTTTGAAGATGGGAAAAGCATTTGAATTCTGGCTTTGTCACTGTGACTTGAACCAGTGAGCCTCTTTGTAAAGAAGGCAACTAAGGGTGAGAGGCTGACTGAAATGTCCCTCTGTTGGTGCACTCAAGCTCTATCCTTTGAACTCACATGCTTGTTTTGTAAAAGAGATACTTTGACAGTCATACAAGAAGACTCCTGAAGTGTATAGACTTTTTAGACTGATGACTCAAATTTGTGTGGACTTCTGAAATACTCTATTTAACATTTTTCCCATGATGTTTGACCTGCGGTAGGAACTTAGTCATGGTAAAGGTGATGGTGGAGATGGTGGTGGTTCCTGTTGTTATTATAAATTTCTATGGAATTTTGACTGAATTGCGTGCAAACAAGTATAAAATTGTTTTTATAATTAATTACATGAAGGGCAATGAAAGGGAACAATTAAAGCCTGATTATCTCATGGGTGAAGTGTTGAATCGTTTTTTAAAAAATAAGATGTGCCCTTTTGTAAGGGGTTTGCAAATTAGAAGGCAACTTTTAGAATTATGTGATTTGCAGGTTAATTTACTGATTGTCTTTCTTAAATGTGAATGCTAAATGTGAGACTTGATATTAGTATAATTTTTACATGCTGGCTTCAAATCCCACACACCACGTTTTGCTTCTTTTATCAGTGAAAGGTCATATTTTGTTTTTACATGCCAGAAAGTAGATTTGATTTAGATTTTTTCTTATCTAGTTACCAGGAGAGACTGTGTTGTATCCCAGGTTTTGAGCATCCTGGCCTTCATTTTAAGGAAAATATTGTAATTTTGTATGAAGAGAATTGAGTACCTGAATGTAAGGGTACTATTAAATGAATCCTACTTATTTTCTGATGCTTGATGTTTAGCTTAATATTGCTTTTTAGCTTTCATATTACTCATCATAATGAATTCTTTTCTAGGAAGCACTCCAAAAAATACGACAGAAGAATACAATGAGGCGAGAAGTAACAGTAGAACTGAGTAGCCAAGGATTCTGGAAAACTGGCATCCGTTCTGATGTCTGTCAGGTGATGACACTTCTGAGAACATAATTGTGCCCATATATCTCTTCCTTTAAAAGGCATTGAGGTTTTCCTAATTAAGAGACTACTAGAGAACATACTACCTTGAGTCTAAATGGAACACCAACCACACATGGTATTTTATAATTTGGGTTTTGCTTTTTTTTTTGTCTTTTGGTGCATGTGTGTGTGGCCGGGGCGGGGGGGTGTTGGTGGGTGTTGGGGGAGGATCTTATTTAGTAACATTAAATTCATAATTCATTCTCTTCACTTTGGATGAACCCAGGTCTATCCTTTGAATTCACCTGCCTGTTTGCACACACATGTAGGTGCTTGTTTTGCAAAAGAGATATTTTGGCAGTCGTATAAGAAGACTCCTGAAGTGTACAAACTTTTTAGACTGATGACTCAAATTTCTGTTGCAATTTAGATTGCAGAGAGCTGAAGACATTAAAGAACAGACTTAGCATATATTTCATATTTGAACCAAATGACAATATATTTTTGTTGAGTGAATTCAGTAGAGAAACATTTTGGCTATGGGTAGCTGACTTACTAATAAACATTTTTGTTTTTCCTGTGGGTGGAATTCATACAGATTAAAGATCCCCCAAACCAACATATTCTTTGGTTCTTCATTGATTGTTTTGTCACAATTGGATGCATTCTATGGGAATACAGTAAAGGAGATGAGTAGTTAGCTGTGTTCATCGTTTGGGAAGAATACTTCCAGGTTTCCACTTATCTATTTCAGTGGTAGCATGTGTTGTAGTAAGGTCGGGCAACTTACTCTTAGGTGTTCACTTTTTCATAATGAAATTAAAAAGAAAAATCAGTATTGGCATTTAATTATATTGAGCAGTGGGGTTTAATCCGATAATTAAAAGTATCGCTTCACAATTTATTTACTAAGTGACGTCCAGAGCTAACTATATTTGTGTTAGGATAAACTGCTATTGATGCAATATTGCTAAATAGTTTGAGGATAATCATCTACAGTGGTATTCAGTCTGCAGTTATTTTGCCAGTTGACCAATACCAATATATTATTACTGTCAGTACTTTCAGATGTGAGTCTTTTACTTCTATTGATTTTTTTCTCAGGGTCATTTGAAGCTGCATCACCCAGTTTTTCTGTTTTCTGGTGTTTCCCCAAAACCAGCATAATGTCATCCTTAGGTAGACATCATAAGAACAAAGAGCAGAATGTTAGACAATCTGCTTAAAGTCTGGTGATCTCAGATAAGTCAGTTTTGATTGTTTTAGAGATCATAAAATTGTGGAGCATTAAGAACTGGAAGACACCTTAGAGACCTCTGGTTCAGTGGTTTCTTTTTTTTTAATTTTTATTTTAAAAATGGGTATAATTCAGGGTTAGGTATACAAATGGTCATTGTACAGGTGAAGTTTAGGCCTCACTTTGGTTTCCACTTCACTTGGTTTGAGATCAAGTGCCCGTGTTGATGAAGTGTGCCCCCATTCCCTCCCTTTACTGCCAATCCCTTTCTTATAGATTATGATAATTGTTCAGGGTCCACTTATGTGTGAGAACATGTGGTACTCAGTTCTTTGTTTCTGTGATAAATCACTGAGTATTATAGCCAGTAATTTTTTTATTTTTTTTTGAGTTGGAGTCTCACTCAGTCGCCCAGACTGAGTGGAGTGCAGTGGCCGCTCCCGGCCACCGCAGCCTCGACCTGCTGGGCTCCAGCGATCCTTCCACCTCGGCCTTCCAAGTAGCCAGAATTACAGGCGCGCGCTACCACACATGACTGATTTTTTGATTTATTGTAGAGATGAGGTCTCACTGCCCAGGCAGGTCTCGAACCCGCGGGCTCAGGCAATCCACTCACCTCAGCCTCCCAAAGGCACGGGATTACAGGCTGAGCCACCGAGCCTGGCTATAGCCAGTAATTTCACATTGCTGTGAGGTTCATAATTTTGTCCTTCTTTATGGCTACATAATATTTCATTGTGTGTGTGTACCACATTTTTTAAATCCAGTCCACTTTTGATAGGCAACATGGTTGGTTCCATGTTTTTGCTATTGTGAATAAAGCTGCAGTAAACGTGCATGTGCAGGTATCTTTTTCATAGTGATTTAAGTTCTTCTGGGTATATTCCCATAAGGGGGATTGCTAGGTCATATGGAAGGTCAATTTTTAGAGTTTTTAGGAATTGCCCCACTATTTTCCACAGAGGTTGTACTAGTTTACACTCCCTTTTCCCTGCATCTTCTCCAGCATTTGTTGTTTTTTGAGTTATTGATAATGGCCATCCTGACTGAAGTTAGGTGGTATCTTAGTGTGATTTTAATTTGCCTTTTTTTGATGATTAGTGAAGCTAAGCATTTTCTCATGTATCTGTTGTCTGCTCATATGTCTTCTTTTGAAAACTATCTATTCATATCTTTTACCCACTTTTTAATAGGGCTATTTGTTTTTTTCTTCTCGACACATTTGAGTTCCTTATAGATACTGGATATTAGGCTTTTGTCAGATATACAGTTGGCAAATATTTTTTATCATTCTGTAGGCTGTCTCTCCGCTCTTTTGAGTGGTTTCTTTTGCTTTGCAGAAGCTTTTCAGATTGATGAGGTCCCATTTGTCCGTCTTCTCTCTTGTGGCATGGGCAGTTGAGGTTTTGATCAGGAATTGATTGCCAGTTCCAATTTCCATAAGGGTGTCTCCTTCATTTTCTAGGGTTCTTATAGTTTGAGGTTTTATGTTTAGGTCTTTGACCCATTTAGAGTTGATTTTTATGTATGGTGATAGGTAGGGGTCTTGTTTTAATTTTCTGCATATGGTCAGCCAATTTTCCCAGCACTATTTACTGAATAAGTTCTCCTCTCCCTAGTGGTTGTTAGTGGAGGCTTTGTTGAAGATGAATTGGTTGAAAAATTGAGGTTTTGCTTCTGGAATCTCTATTCTGTTCCATTGGTCTAGATGCCTGTTCTTGTACCAATACCAACCTGTTTTGATTATTATAGCCTTAGATTAAAGTTTAAAGTCTGGAAGTGTGATACCTCCCACTTTGTTTCTTTTGCTGAGGATTGTTTTGGCTATTCATGATTGTTTATAACGGTTTCCGAATGAATTTCTGTATTGTTGTTTCCAGGTCTGAGAAAAATGATACAAATAATTTAATGAGCACTGCATTAAACTTGTAGATTGCTTGGATAGGATGGACATCTTAATAATGTTTATTCTTCCAATCCATGAGCATGGAATATTCTTCCATTTGTTTGTGTCATCTTTGATTTCCTTGAGCAGTGTTTTGTCGTTTTGTTGTAAAGGTCTTTCACTTCTCTGGTTAGGAAGATGCCAAGGTATTTTATCATTTTTGTTGCTATCATGAATGGGATTGTGCTTTTTATTTGGTTCTCTGCCTGTTTGATGTCAGTGTATAAGAATGCGGCCGTCTTTTGCACATTTATTTTATACCCTAAGACTGCCAAAGTCCTTTATCAGTGCAAGAAGATTTTTACAGATTCTTTTAGATGTTCAAGGTATGAATATCATCAGCAAAGAGGGATAACTTGACTTCCTCTTTTCCTATTTGGTTATCTCTGATTTCCTTCTCTTGTCTAATTGCTCTAGCTAGGACTTTCAACACTATATTGAACAGGAAGGGTGAAAGTGGGCAGCCTTGTCTTCTGGTTTTCAGGGAAAATGCTTCCAATTTCTGTCTCTTTAGCATTATGTTGTCTGTGGTTTTATCATAGATGACATTTACTATTTTGATGTATGTTTCCTCTATGCCTAGGTATTCAAGGGTTTTTATCAAGAAGAGATGTTGGATTTTATTGAAAGCTTTTTCTGTGTCTAAAGATATAATCATGAGATTTCTATTTTTATATCTGTTGATGTATTTAAATTACATTTATGATCTTGCAGATGTTGAACCAGCCCTGCATTCCAGGAATGATGCCTTTTGGTCATGGTGAATGATTTTTAAAGTGTGTTGTTGGATCTGATTTGCTAGAATCTTTTTGAATATTTTTGCATCTATGCTCACCAGGGATACTGGCCTGTTGTTCAGTTTCTTTGTTGGATCTTTACAGTTTTGGTATCAGTGTGATGTTAGCTTCATAAAATGATTTGAGGAGAGTTTTGTCTTTCTTGATTGCTTGGAATACTTTCAGTAGGATTGGTATCAGCTCCTCCTTGTATGTTTTGTAGAACTCCACTGGAGAGCCATCTGGTCCAGGACTTTTTTTGTGGGTAGTTTTCTTATGATGGAGTTGATTTTCTGGGTTGTTTTTGGTCTATTTAATGTCTCAATTTCTTTTTGTTTCAAACTTGGGAAGCTGTATGATGTCAGAAAGTCCTCTATTTAATTTAGGTTTTTGAGTTTGTTTCCATACAGGTGTGCATAGTAACTCTGATAATTTTTTTGTATTTCTTTAGAGTTCATTGTGATTTGATCTTTTGCATTTCTGATTGTGTTTATTTGGGCTTTTTCTCTCTTTTTTTCTTGGTCAGTCTGGCTAGGGGTCCATCAGTCCTTGTTTATCCTTTATCTTTCAAAAGAACCAGCTTTTTGTTTTGTTGATATTTTTCTATGATATTTTTGTTATCTATGTCCTGTATTTGGGCTTTTACTTTGGTAATCTGGATTCTTCTGCTGAAATTAGGATTTTGGTGATCTTGTCTTTCCAGCTTCCCTTGGTGACTTATTAGGCTATTAACTCGTGAGCCTCTCATTTTTTGGATGTGTATTCCTAAATAAATGAATTCCCCTCTCAGTACTGATTTCATGGCCTCCCAGAAGTTTTGGTAAGATGTGTCTTTATTTTCATTTGTTTCCAGAAATCTTTTAATTTGTGCTTTGATTTCCATGTTCACCCAGGAGTTGTTCTGCATCATGTTGTTTAGTGTCCATGTCTTTGTGGGTTTGGGGGTAGCTTTGTTGGTTTGATATTTATTTTCATTCTACTGTGGTCTGAGAAGGTGTATGGTAGTATTTCAATCTTATGAAATTTGTTTATGTTTGATTTATGGTCA